ATATTCCCTGATCTCATCATGCAAAATGCATTTGTCTTTTCTGGCCAATAGGAGGCACTAGATTTTATCGTGTTCAAATTCACTACAAAACATTATATGCAAAATTCAGGTTAAAATTTAAACACATGGTGAACATTTTCACATATCTAGTAATTTTTTTAACTTTTTTTTTTTTTTGTTATGCTTATCTTAAAGATATGAGTACCTCCAGTTGTGACCTGGGAAATTTCCCCAAGTTAAGAAAACAATTATTTCAACAATACTGTCTCCATACAAAGATTAAGAATTCAAATCTAATTTTTCAAATCATGAAGCCAGGATAGTGGGGTTAGGTACAACGTAATTCTTGGAATAACTAAATTGAAGGAAATCCATCATCCTGAATTCCAAATTCTGGGCTGAACAGACATGTCCATCACCCTGCTGACTGACACTGGACAGAGCACATCCAAAAGAGACCACACTAAGGTACCACAGTCTTTACCACATTAACTTTTTATATCTAAACTATGCAAATCAAGAAATCAAATGAGAAATGTCATCTCTCTTAGAATGGCATTAACTTGACCATACAGCTTAATAAATAAGAAATACTATGTCTGTCTTCCTCTCATACCAACATTAAATATTAACAAGAAAAGAGATTCTGCACTGAAAATCAGTTCAATGCTAAGAATCACATTGGCATAAATCACATCAGAAGAAACCTCTATTAGTGTATAAATGTTTTGTGTAGGTAAAATCCTGGTTTACTTCTAAATTGCAGGAAAAGTGTGTTGAGTTTAACCTGGCTGCGGCTGCTGACACAAAACAGAACCTGTATTTCTGTGGACTTTGCTCTCATAAGAAATACACGGTATTTCTCTCACCACATTCACCTTTTAAGTAACAGCATAAGAGCTGGTATTTGTAGAAATTGTAAGAAAATGTCTCTTCTTCATAAAATCTTGACTATTCAGTAAAATATCCGTTCCTCTCCACTACTGAGCATGGGGAAAATACTTATTAGAGCATGACTGCTGGTGTAACACAAGTGAGGATGTGTAAGCAAATGTGAAATGGTACCTCCATCCAGATGGATTTTACCTCCCACAATACACCACTTTCCCTTCTAAAAAAGGGAATTGGTGACTGAAAATCTGATCCCAGAATCACAGAATATTCTGAGTGGGAGGGGTTCCATTGTACAAGGATCATTGTATCTACCTCTTAAGGGAATGGCCCTTACAGGGACTGAATCCATCATCCTGATGCTATTAGCAGCATGCTCAAATCAACTGAGCTCACACTGAAAACTGATGAAAAAACCTACCATGGATGGAAAAACTATCCAACTTACAATTTCAATATATCTGAGCAGCAGTTGGAACTCAAACTAATTTCAGGTTTGGTGAGTTTTAGGCTTTTTTGAAAGTTTATTTCCAGCACATGCTGAAAATTATCTAAAAGTAGAAAATAATAAAACTCCATTCTTCCATTAAGAGTGATTTCAAAGCAGATATTTCAAATACTTCCAGCTTTCTCCTTATTAGCAACATTAAGGCATCTATCACAAAAAAATATGTCCATGATCTGCTAGAGAAATACTGGTCATTACAGTCTCCTTTATCCATATCTCATCTAAGGGAAGACAAAAGCTGAAATAAAATTCCATTTCTGACTGAGACGTTGCATAGCAATCTTTATTCACCTTTACTCTCCAAGTTCCTGAATTAGCCATATCCCACTGCAAAAATTGATCGTTAGCTTTGACTGCAGTTCCTTCAGTGTGTACATCCCTGTGTGTGCAGAGACATGATTCAGAGTATGAATCTCTTTACGTAATCTCATTAGGACAATGTTTCCAGCCAGCCCTTTAAGTGAGCTGCTCATTGTATACAGCTGTACTTGAGGACAGGAAGCAAAATTAAAGCATATCCATTTTGCCAGGGAAAATGTTTCACTTCCACCCTGTAAACACAGAGGGGTTACTATAACATTATGAAAAAGAATGCAAAATTGATTTACTACTTACTTTGTATTCAGAACAGTGGTGAATATTATTATATTAGAAACTGGAAGGGAAAGTTTAGTCCTTAAGCAGGTGATAACTGGGAATGGGGCTGGGGGGCAGAGCAGCCTTTTATTTCAAATTAATAGAAATAAAGTATCAGGGGGAAATCTTCCTATGCTATATTTATAGTCTCCATATTAAACAATATTAATGTAATATAACTCATTTGCAATTGACATGAAGACATCACACGATACAGCTCAACTGCCTTCTCAAAATTTCTAGCCTTGACACCTCAAGTGCAGGGAATTGACATGAAATGAATACTCTAGGATCTTTTCCTTTTGGGAGTGAAGGGGGTATTATTCTACAATTTTTGACTTTCCAAATCTCCTACAAGCTTAGCTAGGCAAACACTTCATGAGTTAACAGTGCCTCACTACACCGTGTGGCTATTGCCACAAAGATACCCTTCTATCAATCAAGCTTATTAAAGTGTTTGTAGACTGCCTGGTACATTACTGCCTCGTGTGGGAGCCCAGAACAAAGCAATCACTAGGTAGCAACTAATTAGTCATGTTACATATAAATTAAATAAATCAGAAAACATACGGCACTGAGTAAGGATATTTGAAATATTTGAAAAATACACTTTACTTGGGTAATCTCTTTTGAGCCAGTGAGCTGAGCTCCTGGGACTTTTAGGGCACAAACATGACACTAATCCCTCAAAGCATCATCTGCAGTGGTGACACAATCCAGATGCTCAAGCAGAAGCAGATTCAACATGTGAATAATGCCATGGGAGTCGCATTGAACGGGGATAGATCCCTCTGCAGTACCCAATGCAGGCCTTGCACAAAACAGGCCTAATAGCTGAGCATCACTCTTCAGCTTTAAACACTCCTAGCCCTGGGGCTCTTCCTAGTGTTTCATTTCTCGGGTATCAATAAACATTAGAGAAATAGCATGCTGAACAAGAACAGAACTCTGGTTTTGCATGCCAAAACACTAGTTGAAAGCATAAACACATTTTGTTAAGAACATCTATTCCAAGGTTTCCTTACATGCTTTATAGATTACTATAGGAAAAAAAAATTATGACATCAGTAGAGGAATGTAAAATTTGACCTTCAGCTAGACAATGATTGGCATTGACTGTAATTCTTCATGAGATTTCACATAATCAACATGCTGATGCATGCAGGGACAGTACATAATCAGTTGCTCTTGATCACAGACCATTTCGCCTAAGAAAAAATGCAGCACTGGATTTCAAGAGTGTGTGACAATTCAAGAATTGTCTGTGACAATTGCAACTGGAAACTAAAGTTATGGGGAAAATAGCAAAGGAAAGTTGGAAAATGATACTATTTGAATTTGGACAAGGTTTAAAAACACAAGGTTTATAAACTTCAGACTGAGAAGAGATTATTGACTTAATCCAGTGGTTTGGTCTATGGGTGTTTGTTGCAAATTTGCAGAATAGATTTATCATCTTTGACTTCTACCAACATATCAGACAGATGCAGTCCCTTCCCTACCAACTCTTTGTTTTATTCAGCAGTTCCTGGGGACCCTACAAATACATCAGAGCTAAAGACAGACATCAGTTCCAGATGGTAACAGTCAGGCTGGGAAAAAGTATATTCCGGTTATAAATATATCTAACTATTAATCCTGTTTGATTTTACATCCTTGTAATAGTCAGTTGTTCTGCATTAGCTCATGCAGTCTCTTCTATGATGCACATCAACAAATGTTAACTACATTACCAAAATCAGGGTATTGCCAATCTGTACAATTGCACATGTAAATTCAGGGGCTGCACATAAACTGTTAATAATTGACTAAGGTCATTTTTTTGATATTCATGTGCATTTGCAATAACTGCAAAGGGATACACAGAGTAGAATGCCCTTATTAATAATATGGCATTCACTATGGTTAAACAGACATTTTTAGGACAAGAAGTGTCACCAGGTTGAGACAATTCCCAATACAAACAATTAAGTCTTGCACCTTTTATGGCAACTAACAAAGTTCCAGCGTTAATAGTTAAAGAAGAACACATTTTTATTGGGTTTTTTTTTGTTTTGTTTTGTTTTTGTGCTAATTGGTTACAATTAGAACTTCCCCTTCAACAGACAAGAGTTTCAGGAAGAAAAATAGTAACACCTCAGGTAAGGATGCAAGTCTGTGATTCTTCCAGCTGTATAAACAAACTTCCCACTCTTAAGTTTTACAAAGACTACAGATGCTATGCCACACAGTTCAACACTCACAGGCATAAGTTCAAGATCAGAATTATGAAACTTTTACATTTGCACACTAAATTTTGTGACTATGTTAAATGTGGAACTTGGCTGAGCTCAAGGTTCAATACAAATTTTTGACAAATAGAGAAAAAGCTGCATAAATCAAAATAACTTTCCTCACTAACAATATATTAATTATAAAATGCTTGATATAAAGAAAGGGAAAAATGAAAATATCTCACTCACCACCTTGCAAAGTATTGAATTTATAAAAGAGTTGATCAGGTCATCGAAAACTGAAGAGTAACTGTTCACAGAGCAGTTAATCCAAAAAGAAAGGTAACTGTCAGTTCAAATTCAAATAAACCTTTTCTTCATTTGGTCAACAAACAGGTTATCATTCAAAACCCCTTCACACTCATAACAGTTTCAACCAACTTACACTCTGCTCTGATCATATATGTACATGTGTGCATTTCAGTAAGAACAGTGTCCCTATTTTCTCTCTAGTACAAAAGAAATAGAATCTTCCCCAGGTTAAAAGGGCTCCAAACAAATAATCTTTCTCAAAGAATTAAAAAGTACAAAAGTCAACAGAAATTTCCACTTTAGTAACCCTCAGCTTATACTTCAGACTAAACTTAAAATGGCCCAGATGTATAATACCTTCATATTCCCAAAGTGGAGCTCCAGAAAGAGCAGATACAACTGTATGGCAAAACAGCAAAACAGTTTGAATAAGAATTTCTGTGCTGAATGTGTAAACAGAAGCAACTTAGAAAACACAGTGAAATTATGCACCTTTGCAAGAAAAAAAAAATTTATTTCTTGGTTATACACACATATATAGGGAAGGAAGGCATTTCAGCTGGCCCTTTTTTAAATTATTCAGTGTTGCACACACATATTTTTAGTTCTACAAAAGGTCAGTCTTCTTCTGATTCCACAACACTTTCCTGTGGAGTAAAGAAGAGTCCCATGAATATGCAGACGCACACCCCTGTAACACTTCAGTCACTGTGCATTAATGTGTGTTCTCTGTATATTTCAAAGTCAAACAAATAATACCTGTCATGAACATGAATTTCTAATATCTTCTATATTTCATTTTAAATGAAATGTCAAAATGATGGAAAATATTTTCTAGAAAGTTGCAAAGGGCAGTTTCTAGTAAGAAGCTGCAATATGTAATTCTGCACTAGTGCAAAACATCATTAAAGGGATACTGCCACAAATTGAATCAGATTTTTTTAAATCATTATTTTACTTACCTGTGTCAATCCTTACACAAACATTTCTGAAAACAGAAATCTGTTTGTTATCCTGATTTATCATTCTTCAATTACAATAACCAGATAGATTTCTCTACAGCTGAGAAAATGGATGCCAGTATATTATTTTTCCTTTGTTATGCAGCATCATGTTGACATAATATTTACAAAACCCACTGAGCTGGAAGCCAAGTTTGGATGGGTGGTGTTTGCAAAAGATTGATTTTCCTGGCTCTGTCACCTGGCATGCATATAAATGCTTTTATACATTTATTCAGCAATATTTGTTCAGCTGATTAAGCACCAAAGAAGTCTTAATCATTTTATGTGGATATTCCAGTTACTCACATTCAAAACCTAAGCTGGCTTTTACATCCACGAGCCAGGCCCAGCAGCCCTCCTCAGGTCATTGACATCTTTCTCCTGTCCTTGGCAGTCCCACCTTCCCCAGAGCACTCAGGTTGCGTTTTCTGTAATCACTCCACACCCGTATGTTTCCTCTTTCAGCTCACACACAGCACACTGTGCTCTGCCAGGGGATCCTTGTTAACCCACTGAGTTCATCTTTCACTAGATTAGCTGTGTTCATAAAAAGAGAAGAAGTCATTAAGGCAAGTGACATAATTTTATCATCAGCCAAGGAATGCAGGAGTGTGGGGCTTGGTGGTTTTCCTGGGGGTAGGGTATTGGTTTTTTAATGTTGGCACAGTCTTAATTTCTTTCACCATTGTTATTTCAGACTTGTGATCCATCCAAACACAGATCACAGAGATGAAAAGATAAATCTTAGCAAAAAGAGAAAGCATTGATTTTCAGGCACCAAATGAATCTCTGATGTCCATGGTACCTTCACTGTGATCTCTAGCAGATAAATTATTAATGCAAGTGTATGAACATCATTTTGTTGTGATTAGATTTCACTTAAATTTTAATTTAAAAAAAGTCACAGGGGATTGAAGAAGCAGTCACATAAGATAAGCGAGTCAGTCAAAGTTTTATTTTTCATGTTTGTGTGCTGGGATTATCTGGAATCTTATCATTCATGCAGCAAATTACCAAGAACTACATTAAAAATGTGTATAGCCATTTTCATTTTTAAAATATTCAAGACTATAAATAATTAAATGGGTGAGACATCTGTTATTTATGAGCTGAAATGACAGTTTTAATTTAGTTCTTCGTTTAGCTGAGCCTGACGCGTTGAGACTAAGTAAGAGAAAACAGGAAATATTTTTAAATGACATCTCTCACAGTTTAGAACTTCCAAGAGTGCAAATCACACACTTGGGTTTTTTGTTTGTTATGTTTTCCTTACAGACCCATCAGAAAACACTCCTCATTTTTGACCTAGCATTGCATGTCATGAGGATTCTGATGACAAGGTAGAGCAGCCACGGTGGCTTCACAAAATAAATCAGCCACGTTACTTCTCTGTAAACATTCAGGAGACAAATTGTTTATTTAACACATGGATACCAGTCAGACATGTTGCTCAAACTACAACACTCTTCTGAAGCAGATATTTCCCATACTTTTCCCCTTTATTTCTCTCTACTACTGTACTAGTAGAACATTTATTGTTGTGAATCAAAATATTCCCTGTGAGAAAACAGAGGGCTCAGAAAACTCTGCAGCAAGGTTTACACAGAGCTGGTTGTGTCAGATAAAAATAAAAGATGCCCATCTCCCCCTTGCCAACTTCAGTTTGGGGAGGAAAGGTTGGCTTGTTCTGAAACTATTGATTTTCTCCTTTTTTTGCTGGTTTTTAATTTTCTTTGTTTTAGTAAAAAGTTTACATACCATGAAATCATTTTTTTAGGAACAGACGTTTAATATGATTCTCCTTCATCATAGATTGTTTAAACTACTATCTCATATGTCTGCTAACTTTGAAAGAGAAGAAATGGGCACAAATTATAGATTAACTATTCAAAGGATTTTTGCCTCTTTCAGCAAGAAAAAAAACAAACAAAACAAAACAAAACCCCCAAATTATTAGAATGCAAAAGCAATTTTATTTTAGTAAAAAAAAAAAATTATTTTTTTTGTGATTACAGCTATTTTTGCATTCTCTAGCTTCAAATAAGCCACACAGCCCCCAAAGCCAGACCCACAAGTCAGAACTGTGAAAGTAAATAAACTGAAAATAGATGTAATTATTTGTATCATTCTATCACTACAATTAACTTCAGATCTAGTTTACCTGGGAAATTACTGTTCCCATTCTCCATATGAGAAAAGCAGATTAATAACTTGAGGGTATCATAGGGGGTGGGGAGGTGGGATGATGTGTGAAATTCCGCTGAGACGGAAGCTTTCCAATAGAATAGGAAATAGGAATGCCATGATTCCTCCCAAACTGAGGAGAATGAGCTCTGGGCTTCCATGTGATCAGCCTGGGACAGAAGGGCTTTTCACAGGTGTTGGACATAAACAGTTTTCACTGAAATCCATGGGAGTCATCACTGCTCAGAGAGAAAGGGTTCATTACACATGTTGAATGACAGAGGCTGATGAAAAAAAAAAAAAATATGGAAAAATACCTAAATCTACAGATTTGTAATAGCAAGCTATCTTTTATTACATCAGTCATAAGATGCTGGAATGGATAATATTCTAGCTGATCTCATAAAATACTTTTGTGAGGTGCCCCGGCCCAGGGAGACAAAGATTTAGTTTCAGATAAGCTTTTTAAATTGAGAGGTGTGGCTTTAAAGCCCGGGCAGTGTGAATTCCATTGCTCTGCCTCGGGGGATGTGCCCTGTGAGCCCAAGAAGAGTTGCCCCATCCCAGACCCCTCATGGGGTGGCAGCCCAGGGGTTCTGATTGGGTTTGAGCCCCTAGGGTTTCTCCCTTGCTGTGTCCCTATTAGTCCCCAACCTTGGGCTCCGCCCTGGTTCTGTCCCATAAAACCCATCACCCTGCCTCTGTTCGGAGCTGTCTCTGGATCTGAGTTTGTTCCTGTGCTGAATAAATGGTTTCCTGAGCAGAAGCCCGTCTCGTTGGAGTCCCATGTGGGTCAATGGTAACCGTAGCCTGCCTGAACAGGATCCTGCAGCCCCAGAACACAACAGACTTTACCTGTCCTTATGAACATCGCAATTCTAAAATCCCAGGCCGCCACTGACACAACCTTACCGCTGTGTCTAGAACCTGAAGCAACTTTCTTTTGATATCGTATTGTTTCACAGAGGAACAACTTTATATTCAGAATCTCAGGGTAGTAAAACCCTCCCAATGTTACACGACTGTATTGTTTATTTTTGGTGAAGCAGATAGAATACCAAAGCCTCGAGGTTTTGTTTCCTCACCTGCTGCTATGCAAGGAAAAAGGCATTTCAAAAATCTATGTATTTTACACTTTATCTCTTAAACAAGAAAAGGCAAAATAAAGTAATACTGACATTTCATTCCTGCAGAAGAAAGTAAAAGAGTATTTCTCAGCATCTTATCTTATTTCTCATTGGTCATTTCCCATTTATTTACTAGGATAAAAATGAAAAGTGTTAGTTTTTATTCACATACAGACAGGAAAGAAAATGAAAAAAATACCAAAATGTGAAACAAACAGCAAAAATTAGGTGGGGAAGGAATACATTCTTTTTCTACTGGAAGATTAGCTTGTCTATTAAAAAAAAATCACAACAAATTTTCACATAACATAAAAACTATTACCTTACCTCCCCTCATGTAGCAGTTGAGATATGTATTAAAATCAGCAAGAAGGTAGCAGGTGTTGAGGAGCATTCAGGCCAAAGACACCTGCTGTAGATGTCAAGAAAATTGAGAGAAATTAGGGACATCTAAGAGGACAAACACAGGTGAAAGCTTGAAAAGTAACAGGGTGCCAGGTGAAAAAATAAACAGTGCTAATCAGACAGAAGAAATTAAAGGCTTGCAGATAAACACTGCTGAGTTGCCCACCCCATGAGTATAATCATATGTAGCCACAGAAATAAACTTCAGAAGTTGCAGCCTGATGTAAATATTATTATATTCATCCTATAACTTCCTAAAAAGTGGTATGAGCTCATTTCAAATCCAACCTTTTTCTTAATTTTTTTCTGAGAGGAAATTAATAAATGTCATGAAAACAGTGAATAAAAGATAAGAACATAAGCAGGACTGCACTGCTTATATTATAATAGCCTATTACAAGGTACCATTTAAGAGCATCTGGAAATCAGATGTCAAGTGGGTGGCTTTGAGTGATGAGAGAAACACCTGCTCCAATGCCAGCAAGGGGCTGCAATTTCAGCTCTAGAGCTGTGGACTCTGACTTTAGAAATGTACTGCATCTGGAAAACACATTCTGTTCAGGTGTACTTGAAATGGGGATTTTTTTTTGAAGGTCGTAGATTAATAAAGTACAGTAAATAGTAAAGTAACTTTATTTTTGTGAGTCAAATTTTATCAGGAAATCTTAAAAGACAGGAAGAGCAGGAATCACATACAAAACTGCCAGTAGCATTGCTCCTCATAGTTATGAAGCAAAAGAAGAAACGTGTAAACTGAACCAAGAAAACTGTTATTTCTATGAGCTGAAGCTCAAGGCCTAGCAGTGACAAGGGAATGGCTCCCTTTTAAATGAGAAGGGGACCAAGGCCACGCTTTTATTAAGCAAGCAGGGTCCTGTGTTTGTCTGTACCATTGGCAGGTGGATGGAGGCACTGAGATGTGCCTTGCCAGTCAAGCGCCCAGTGGCCTGTGTGTCACTCAGGGCTGCAGCAGCACAGAGGCAGGAAAAGTCCTGCTCCCTCAGAGCCCCAGCTGAGGCTCTGCACGGCTGGGACCGACTGCTTGGGCCACTTGGCAGATACCCCCAGCCAGTCTGGGGCAAACACACTGCTGGCACTGAGGAAAGGACACAGAGGAAATATTTGCTGTCATTTACCAGCCCAAGGACAACTACTAATTAAAAGAGTTTTGAGAGTTTAGGGCCCTGAAAATCAAATGCAGGACCATGCTCAGATTAGTAAGAAAAATTGCCATCACAAAAGATACTGACTGACCATGACATAAAATAAAGAAAGGCAGACAGGTGCTCAAAAAGGGAAAAATCTGCTCTGCAAACAGGTCAAACACTCAGCATCTGAAGGAGGCATCTGAGTTTATCACTATCCAGAACAAGGTACGTGTCATACGTTGCAGAGATTCACATAGGTTCCTTCACTCTCTTGAGTACCAGGCCATTTCTGCAGAAAAAAATTTGGGCACCATAGAAAACATTCTCAGATTTAAAAGCAGGTGTATTTGTTATACAGGTATACATAGTATATTAAAAGCAACAAAAATATTCAAAATTAACTAAAGGTTTTAAAGTTTACAGCAAGCTCACTTTCTTAAAAGCCCCCAACAGTTACAATAATGTAAATAGCATTAGTTTTAAAGCAGATAAAAAGAATACCCCACTACCATCATCAACATTGATCTATGAATATTAAAAATGAAGGGAAAGCATGTTAAGAAAATCATTAATTAATCAACCTTTCACCTGTTGTCTTTCCAATATACCACTGAAAGAGTTTAAATACTATTGTGACCTTTATAAAGTTCAAGGATTCTGGAGTTGCAATATGGATAAAATAACTAAAACAACCTACAGAATACCTATTATCTGCAGATTAGTGCTACAAAAAAAGTTCATCAAAACTTGCCTATTTTGCTTCCCCACCAAAAGAAGACAGAAAACTAAAGTCTGGAAAAAAAAAAAAAGCCACTTCCAAAATAAACTCAAAGCCTAATGTTAATCATAGTCTTTTCAGAAAAATAAAAAAACACAACAGTTTTCAAAAAAATTAGATTGTGAGCTAACACAAAGGTTTTGAAGACAGCTTTCCTCTTTTTCAGTTTCTATTTTTTATCAAATGTCAAAATATGAGATTTTGTAATTACAATACAAATGTGAGATCTTGATTTTAATAACAGGATGTTGCAGTGAGTGCTAAGATGTGGATACCAGAAAAAAAAATTAAATAAAACTTAAAAATACAATAGCTTGTCTTTTTCTTTGTCAGGAAATGTCAGCAAATGGACATAATATATCCCAGTACAATATCCCAGGTTTATCTTCTCCTCTACCAATATTACTGACATGTCAGGAAATCATGGAAAACATAAGGTATATGATGTCCTGTCCCAATAATACTAACTTAGTAGGATACCTTTATAAAAATAAATTGATATTCACCAGAATGCGTTTCTAGTCCACCCATACAATAGAAAGAACACACTTCCCATTTCACAACAATGTTTCTAAAATAGAGGAAAGCAACTTCATAGTATTTCAGATTAGTTTAGTTTTTAATAATTGTGCTAGGAAGAAAGAAAATCCAACTATAAGCTTTGACAGGATGAATGGCTCTGCATGTGTAAATTCTACCTTCACCACAGTTTAAGTACATAAGTAACAAGTTCCAACAGATTGTGTGCAAAACAAAAGTAACTGAAATTTTCTATTCTCTTCCCACTTGCATAATAGGTGACTGCATTTAATTGAAAACATCTTTAAAACTTTTGAGCTGAGACTAATGATGGCAGTTTTGAGACAGACGAATTTTTTTAAAATGTAGTTGATGGGATAAAAATAGGGCTTTAATAAAAGACTCTTTGCAACATTAACTAGGGTGTTTACTGGTGCAGAAATACCAGAAATTATCAGCATACGTCTTTTCACAGGTAGGCTGCAAACAAAATTTATAAGGCAAAAAAGGAAATTCTTCACTGGATTTCTACAAGTACAAGGTATATTATCCCAAAAGCTCAGTGTGAAAGGGAAAAAAAATAACTTTGTTTTCTAAAAGTCACTTGCTTGAGTTCCCTGAAGCAGAGAAAAATGCCTGTAGATGTACAACAAAAAGTCAAGGGCAAATCTCGAACAAGTTAGAACTGTGTTAGCATTTCTCATGTGAGTTGTCCCAGGCGCTGTTCAGGCATGAAATAAAGGGTTTGTTGAGCATGGTAACAAGAAGTGATACTTCATTACAGGGTACCAGAAACCAAAATTTCTATATCATTCAGATATTTACTGTCATTTCTGGGGGAAAAAAACCCCAACCAACAGATATTTGATGGAGAGAGAATAATTCAGTAGTCTCTAAGTCAAGGTAAAAGGTATTGAAAATTAAGAAATTGTAACATGTCCCAGTGCATATAATATACTGTTTGCAGGAGATGGAGGGCTAGATGCCTAGAAGCTTTCTGAAACACAGAAATTAGGCATCCCTTTGTCTTAAGAAGACACCAAGTGAACAAATTAAGGAAGTTAGACCTCTTTTTTTTTGGAGGTTTCATGACATTTATCACCAGAAGCACAATCTCATACTGACAAACCTGAATGTGGCATCCTTAGCTGGGTTCCCAAATAGGCCCAGAGAAGTCCAATCGTGAGTTCTGCTGCCTGATGGAAAACACAGAGACAACAGCCAGAAGAGGAACTTTAACACACAACCAGCCCTTGTTGGCACACTGCAGAGAATGATGCGGGTCTCAGAAACATCAAAAATGGCACCAAACATAAATTGGCATTTTCCCCAGTTTTCCTACACCCTGCTTCTTACACTGATTCTGTTTCATTTTAAATAACAGTCTTCCTGATTTTGAATATATAAAGCAGAAATAACTGTATAAGAAATTAATAAAAATACACAGGCTTTCCTTATTTTTAAAAAAGACTTAATAAAAATTTAAAAAGCCCTACCAAAAAAAAATCAAAACCAACCAACAATCCCATCAAAAAAAAAAGCCCCAAAAACCCAGAACATACAACTGCTTCATTGTCTACGAATAAACCACACAGAGAAAATATCTGTCATTGTCAAGCTCCTACCCTTGGATTTCTAGCACCGAGAATCCACTTTTGAGGTATATTTCTGTAGTGCAATGATGCTTATTCACCTATTAAGTTAATCAGTGGTATTTGTTCCCTCTGGATATGGTTTTGAAAAATTCTTTTAATCCAAGCTTTCTTTTCAGGATTGAAGTCAGGACTGCAGGCAAAACAAAATTAACTCTAATTGTACTTGATATACCAAGTTGCATGACTCAGCACTTCAGATACTAAAAATTCATCCATGCAAAAGGACAAAGTGTTCCCAAATGCCTGAAAATACCTGCTTTTCTTATTTGACAAGCTGAGTCTGAAAACTCTTAATGGATTCATAGCAGTGAGAACAGGGAGTAAAGGATACACTGGTATGGGAGCAGATCCAAGCAGCACTTCTAGGCAGTGTAGCACAGTCCCAGCCCGCAGGGGAGCACCAGCGCAGTGCTGCACCCAGGGTAACAGGTCCTGCTAAGCTCTGCAAGATGCATCACCTGCACAGCTCCACACTGCAAAGGAAACCTGCTTCACACAGTCCAGAGATATTTACCTAGCTTGGCTAAAAAGTATAAAAAAGCCATCCAAAAGTGTTGTGTCCTGGGTTTCATGGGATATGGTAAACTACTGCACCCTCTGGAATTTTGATCATAATGCCCTTTCAGTTTTGGCACATGACCACAGAAAGATCAGCTTGGTTCCTTAGGTGATGGATACTCAGAACAACACAGGGAAAACTGCACCTGCAGTTGCTCACTGCAGCTATGGATTATATAGCATTTATCATATGTGGCTGGCAACAGATTGGTTTGTGGCATTTCAGGGAGAGCCTCTACAATGCCAGCTCTTCAGTCTATCCAGATAAAAAACTCTTTAATGCTAATCAGCTGAGGTTTGCTTTATGTTTATACATAATTTTTCATATTCAATCCCGGACTTTATTTAAACTCTCAGTGCTACTACATATAATAAGGACCAGTAATAACAACTAAAGACACAGCAACTTTGAAAAATGTTTTTTTAAAAAATTATCTTGAAGACATTTAACCTTTCCTGCTCATGAAGTAAAATGAAGGAAAAAACCTCAGCATAAGAGTTCTGATTTCATATCTTGTGACTAACCAGGGAAAGGAAGTGGAAAGGATATGCATGCAAGGATTCTTTAAAAAACATGATCCAGGCCATAAACCTGCCTAGCCAGATATGGGAATATACTGCACTCCATAACTTCAAGGAACAGCTGCCCACATTTAGAATCTTTGACTAACACAGGTATGTACAACAACTGAACTTTTGGAGCAAAGTTGCCCCCGATGTTTGAGTGTCCTTGATATGTGAAAAGCAGCAGCAAAGCATTTCCACAGAGAGGCTGAGCTCCAGACTGCACAGGTCAGCCTGCTCCAGTTCCAAGTTCCATGGCCTTACACAGCTACTGTGGTATGGATGACTGCAAATCATTACAGCTTAATAGAGCTCTAACAGAAGGAGCAGCTCTCTGCTTTGCTCCATGCATCTCTGGAGAGAGTGAACTGACACCCGATAGAATGGTAATCAATACATACCTAACACAAGCAATGTACATAAATTATAGATGAAGGATCATTTAAATACATTCAAACAGCACAGTTAGCCCTTCAGATGCACTTGAAATGAGGATCTTGTTATATGAAAATTGGTTTGTGATACATAATTGTACAGGGATCCTTTTTTCAACAGAGGCAGGTCACATTACAGGCTCTGGGATGAGCAAAAGACCAGCTGCTTCAGAGACACCATACCATCAGACTAAGAACACTGCCAGGTATTTCCCTGCAGTTCCAGCTCCTTTACATTAACTGTGATTTACCTTAAGCTATTGATTGCCTTCACCAAAGTGTTTATTGCTTAGTGATTCTACCCTATTCATTGCCTGCTTCTATTTCCGTGTTTCTGCTCTTTTGATCACTTGCATTGTGCTGAAGGCATGACTAAGAACATTATTTATCTGTTGTCCAGCCCTTTGTTCAAGGACCTGATCTAAATAAAGGCACACATCATTTTCATCTTGCATATACCACATATGCACCAGAATATTTCCTCCCAGAGCAGTTCCTCAGCCACATCTCTCATCTTCAGCAGCACTATGCTGATTTACACTAGTTAGGCATCCAGTCTTTGAATGCTATATAGGCCCAAGAGAAAAATCAAGGTCCCAGGAGATTTGTTTTTTCTGAGATGCCAGTGAGAAATGAACTGAAGCAGTCCATTTGTCATAATCAAACTTTGTTTTTCATCTTTATTCACCTCTATCACACATTTTCCCTTCACTCATAATTTGTTTCTCTTCTCTTCTTTAGATGCTCACCTAGGAGCATGAGAAAGAGCAATCCAGTTTGATTCAGAGGTATTCCCCCTGAGATAAAGAAGTGGGCATTCACAAAAACAGGAACTATATGAGTTCATTTTGCAGCAGCTACCAAGGAATAAATTATTACTCAAGAGGTAATTAAAGCTAAATCCTGACAGCTGCTATTTCAAACAAATTTCTTTCTTTTGTTATATGTGAAGTGTAGACAACTTAACATGGTAACTAGTGAGCTAGAAAACTGGTTAGTACTAATTTAGTCACTAACAAAGTGTTAGATCTGTGAGGGAAATACCACAAGAAAAGTTTCTCATATCTTTAAACTTATCTGAAATATCTTTCCTTCTATTCCATGTTTATAATATAGTCACAGCTTGTACGAAGAAGCTGCAGAAAGAGACTTGCAGAGGTAATCCAGCACACTAAGGGAGTGAAAACTTGCAAGAATAACTGATACAGTAGGTTTTGCACCAGCAAACATTTTTATCATTGAGATCATGCCTAGATTTTCTCACAAAGTTAATCCTTTTCTTGAGGAATACAATTTGATACCCTGCCTCTAACATAGCTCTTGCAGTCAAAATTATTTTATTCATACTTTAGTTCCTCCCAGCTTTTAATGTCTATTCGGCCATATGCAAGAATGAAATACCCCATTAAAAATATGATCAAGAAATTCCACTGAAAAACTTACATTGACCTCACGGTAAAAATCTTGTCTAGTCTGAATTTAAGCTAAGAAAAATCACTCTGCTCACAATAATATAACAATGAGAGCCCACAAGAACAAGACTCAGTCAGTTCCAAGAGTTTTACCCTACACAAAATGGCAAAAAGCAGCTAGAAATGTGCTCAACCTTCTCAACCCTGAGCATTCCTGGAGCACAGAGGAAAACCCTGGCTGGCATAGAGCTCCTTGTACCACCAGCACATGCAGTAGCTTGGGAGATACCTACAGTGCAGTTTCTGAAGCTGCCAAGAGCATCAGTGCAAGAAAATGGGCTTTTAAACTGGTTACAGAGTGTGTAGTCTGCCTGGAGCTCTGTGCTGCCACACAGCTGTAACTGAGAATTCAGATAAATTAATACACATTGAAGTCACCACAGCCACACATATACAAATTGGATCCTTTCAATCCCAAGTACACACAAATGTGTCAAATCAGGACCTGTTTAATTGTTCAGAAGTCAATCTAGACTAGCACATGGCATGAGCCCTTCCCAGTTCATATGTGGTCCTGTCAAGAATTACTCAGCATAAAAGAGCAGAGGATGAGGTCTAAATAAAAAAATATGGACTTCATGAAGTCTTCTAGCTTGACCAGCATGACCTTACTGCCTTCATCCTTCATCTTCCGCAGAGAGAAAAGGGGAGCATCTGTTCTAGCCAAGGACAGTCCACAAAATGCCTTTTCTCACTCCCAACTGCCTTGGGTGGTGGTGTGGCAGCCCCTTCTGTCCAGCCATGTTGGCCACAAGAACCATTCACATTTCCCCATTCTGCAGCCCTTCCCTTCACTTCCCCTCTGGGAGAGCAGGAATAGAGACTAAGAGGGGAAAATTGTTCCTGGGATTATTTACAGAATTACTATATCACATACATTTTTAAAAGGAGGTGCCTGTGGGTGCAGGATGAGAAATCAGTTACATAACAAACTCAATGAGCAGGGAAGCACAAAGCACTAATAAAGCACATTGAAGTTCACTCGAACTCAGGTGATGGGTTTGCACGGCCAGGTGGCAGTCATACAGCCTGGCAATGTCAGAAGTCTTTGAGTCTCCTGATAACAGAGACAGCCAGGGCTACATGTAACCTCTCTGGAGCACTATTTGATGTGACTGGTGAACATTTGGCTAAATGTTCATTATGCCATTTTAGCCAAGACATCAAAATGCAAATGCCAGGTACTGTATCTCACAGCAGATCAAGCTGGAAATTGTATCTTTCCATGTATTAAACAGACAAAATACAGAAAAAAATCTAGATCAGGCTACACTGCAGATTTTTATGTACAGATGAAGCACACAAAACATGAAAACACATGCAGATGCTAACTAGAACAAAACTGCCAGAGTTTAATTGGTTGGCAGTCAGTGTGACTCTAGGCAGAAATAGCTGCAGATTGTTCTATATTGTGCAAGAAATGAAAGCAGCAAAACCAAATATGTAAAAGCAGATTTACAAAATGAAAGTGCAGCAACCTTCCCAGCCACAACGGTAAATCTGGATACAGTAA